ATCCGAAGCCCTAGAGACTGCTAAACAAAGGCCCACAGCACTGGCTGCCAGGCTAAGGAGATACACTAGAGAAGCAGAGGCCAAGAAGATAAATGCCCTGTTTTCCAAAGAACCATCCAAGGTGTGCTCCCAACTGCAGTGCAATCACACAGTAACAGCAGAGCCGCCAGCAGCGGAAACTGAACAGTACTGGAAGAACAGATGGGAGAAAGAGAAGACACATAACACCAGTGCAAAGTGGCCGCAGGACCTGAAAGCAGACCACAGCAATCTCCCAGAACAAGAACCAGTCACCACAGTAGCAGACATACAACAGTGGGTCAAGAACATGAAAAGCTGGACAGCACCTGGCCCAGACATGATCCACACCTACTGGCTAAAGAAACTAACAGCAATGCATGAACGCCTAGCAACACAGATGAGCCAGCTGTTAGCAGCAGGCTCCCACCCAGACTGGCTAACACAAGAAAGGACAGTGTTGATCATGAAAGATCTTCACAAGGGAACAGCACCATCCAACTACCGGCCAATAACCTGCCTCGCCACAACATGGAAAGTTCTATCAGGCATTGTAGCTGCCAAGCTACAAGACCATATGGGCCAGTACATGAGCACAGCTCAGAAGGGCATTGAGAACAACACCAGAGGCTCAAAACACCAATTACTCATAGATAGAGCAGTCGCCTGAGACTCAAGGACTAGGCAGACCAATCTGAGCACAGCCTGGATTGACTACAGGAAAACCTATGACTCAACGCCACATTCCTGGATCTGTGAATGCCTGGTGCTATACAAAGTCAACAGGATACTAAGGACCTTCCTCAAGAACTCAATGGTACTGTGGAAGACAACACTGGAAGTCAACTCAAGACAGCTTGCAGAAGTGGCTATCAAGTGGAGCATATACCAAGGTGATGCACTGTCCCCACTGCTGTTCTGCATAGGCTTAAACCCTCTCAGCCAGATAATCATAAGGACTGGATACAGGTACAAGTTCAAGAGTGGAATCACCATTAGCCACCCCCTCTACATGGATGATGTCAAGCTGTATGCTAAGAGTGAACGAGACATCGACTCACTGATCCACCTGACACGTATCTACAATAAAGACATTGGGATGTCATTCAGACTGGACAACTGTGGCTGGATGGTAGTAAAGAGAGGGAAGGTAATTAAGACTGATGGGGTGGAACTACCAGCAGGCCATATAGAAGACATACAGACCAGCTACAAGTACGTTGGTATCCCACAGTCACATGGGAACCAAGATGAGGAGGGAAGGAAGACAGCAACATCCAAGTAAACCCCATGGAAGTCATAGTATGTGTTAAAATTATACTAAAGAACAGGTTTATAATACAAATATTTATTATGAATGATCAAGAACCTTAAATTTAGCACTTCATAAGCTTAAACCAACCATTAAACCATGTCTGGTTTTGGGAAAATGGAAACCCCAGATAAAGATTCATTTTGCAATTTTTTAAAAATATATGTGTTTATTTGGTAAACAACCAAAGCCCAGAAAATAAAGATAGAGAGATAGAGAGAGATATAATTTAATTTTATCAAATTAAAATATTAAAAAGTATTGTAAAAATGTTTTATAAATATTAATTTCTAAAATTTAAAATATAAAATTATAATTTGAGAGTCACCCTTTGGGGGAGATGGATGGAATATAAATTTAATAAATAAATAAATAAATAAATAAATAAATAAAATTTCAATGCATTAAAAACAATATTTTTATTATTTTGTTTATTAAGCTTGCAACCTCCCCCAATCTGTAAACTCTAGCTAGCATAAAACAAAGTGGAATATATTAATAATATACTAAAACAAATAAACCTTCCCAAACATGGATGGATACCCATAAACATTCAGCTAAGATTTAAGGCATGATGAAATAGATTTATCTGCTTTATGGAACTTTAAGAGAAAGGGTTTTATACACACTTCTGGGCAGAGTAACTTCTAGAGGCCAGAACAGAAGGCCTATTATCTGGTCCACATCCCTCATTCATTCATTCATTCATTCATTCATTCATTCATTCATTCATTCCTATCTATCTATCTATCTATCTATCTATCTAATTTTATTTAAGATTTTTTCAGAAGGAAGATAAAAACTAATGCAAACTAATATAAAGAAAAAGAAAAAAATCAAAGAGAAAGCTAAAAGTGCAGGAAAGGAAAAAAAGAGTGAAAGGAAAATAGAAAAGAAAGAAAAAAGATACAAAGAAGTGGCTTCTGATCTTCTTTACAGCAATTATAAGTCCAATAATAAATTTACCCCTCACTCTATGGTTAGAACATGTCTCTCTTCTTTCTATCATCTATTCTGTCTAATCATCAAAACCATAAATCATAAGTTCACTTTTTTCTGTTTTATGCAAAAAGTCCATAAGGGGTTTCTAGTCACCAATAAATGTAGATTTTGTCTTTTTTCTCATTGGCGAAGTCAATTTGGTCATCTCAGCAAGTTCCATCGTCTTCACCAACCATTCCTCCATAGTGGGTAGTGCTGAATCTTTCCATCTTTCCCACATTTCTCATGGAAGATCATGCTCAGCAAGTCCTCTATTGATGGGCAAATTTGATCCTGGCAAAGCAATACTTGATATATTCTGTACTTATGCCATGTAGGCTTTGTAGGTCATGCCCAATACTTTGACTTGGGCCCAGAAGTCTGCTGGTAGCTGGTGCAGTGATTTCATAATTTCAGTGCCCGCTAACATTGGCCCACTAAGACTCATGAACCAACCAAACTTCGTATAAAGTGAAGAAACAACTTGGTTGTCTATAGCAAAGCAAGAGCAATAATTATTTTTGGATCCTCCTAATTCCAAGCTTTCCATAGTCAAGTGAATGCCAGTTCCTCATGGCAATTTGCACTCAGGCTCTCTCCTATAATTTTCTATAGAACACGATTACATAGACTTGGCAAGAATGATAAACGACCTTTGTTACAACAGTGGTTAACAGCTCTGCAAAATTAATGGGATTTCTGGTTGGCGACTGCAAACCAGCTATTATTAAAAAATAATTTGTCATACTGGATTAGAGGACAGGTTCATCAAAGTCAGCTAACCTATATTTTGGGGGGTTGAGGTTTGTTTTGTTGTTGGGTTGTTGAGGGTTTTTTTTGTTTTTTGTTTTGGTTTTTGCTTAGTTTGTTCTTGCTAAAGGCTTAACCGTCAAAGTTTAAAAGTGTAAATTTGGATTGGGAGTGAGAAAGTTATTCTGGGTCACAATATGCATGGACATGCTACCTCCATTCTTAGAAAAGCATTGTAAACCTGCACTTTGCATGTGGAAGATCTCAGGTTCATCCCTTAATATCTCCAACTGGAATTGGCAAAACATTCCTGCATAAAGCTCTGGAGACCTCCTTCATGCAGACAACCTTAATCTTCTAAAAAGAAACAGATAACTGTAATGGCAAGAACGCCATCCGATTGTTATGAAGATATTGAATAAAGGGAAATGAAGTGTCTTTCCGCTCTCCCGAGATATAAACTGTCATGTATGTTGTTGTTGTTATTGAATCCTGTTTCCATGAGTGCGATATTCAGTTTCAGAAGCTTCTTGTCTTGCAGTTGTAGCCTGAGTTGCCAATAATGGAAATTGGATTAAGTCTATGTAGCAAGTTTTATCAAAGACATCAACAAAGATGAGTAGAAATCCAATAAGTGTTGGTATTTAAAAATTGTCACTTAATTTAAATATTTCAGGAAAAAGAAAAACCAAAACGAGCTACTACAGAACACAAACATCATAAATTCAGACCAATAGCCCTGGAGCTATTCACCCACATGAGGAAATGGCATGGCTGATATCAGTTGTGTGGAAAACCTGCCGTCTCGAAACATTTCAAGTATAACTTTTGATAAAATAGTGTACTTCTAAGTGCAAAACTTCTGTTTTTGAGTGCAAAAACGGAGTGTTTCAAGAATTCTGGGAGTGTTTTGAGACTCAAGAAACAGTGTCTCAAGCTGGGAAGAGCAAATGT